AGACATCTGTGGTGTCTTCAGTTGTTGACCTATACAGTCCTGCTGCCCCTGTTGCCCCTAAGTACAAAACTGAATATTTTTTGCGGTCCTTTAGGTGGCGCTGGTGGCCCAATTTTGGGCCACGGCCTAATGGTTTAAACTCACCAGTGTAGAAGACAGGAGGCTAAACTGGAGGTGGCAGAGCTAAATATGTTGAAGCTTTTTCTTGGCAACGATCAGTATTAAACATGAAGGTTCAGGTGGTTTGAACAAGAGCTGAGGAGAAGGAGTGAGGGAGGAAACAGTGGAAGGAGAGGAGGAGGAAGGAGAACTTAAAGGACTGTGGGAAGGAGGCGGCGGATCAGAAAAAGGAAAGAGGAGGGGAAGATGAACAACTGGAGACAAAGGTAAATGAGAAGCGTGAAGTTCAACAGCGAGAAGGACGATGAGAAGGAGATGAAGACAGATGAGGAGGAGTCAAGGAAAGATAAGGAGGAAGAGAGTGATAGGAAGGTAGGAAGCAGGCGAGGAAGAAGAGGACGGTAGAAGAAGGAAAAATTCAGAGAACTAAGAGGAGTGGAGTGGAATAATTTGGAAAAATGGGACAAGTAAGAAAATGGGTGAATAAAGGAGTGGGAGATAAGAGAACGAAGATAAATGAGGAGAAGAAAATAATGTTTGTTCAGATGACAGACTTCTCTTGTGGAAAGGAGGAGTGAATGCATTTACAGATTCTGTGGATGGCTTGAAGCCTGCAGGTTCACAGGTGTTAGCGCTGGATCTCCAGTTTGCAAACTCAGCTCTAAACTGGACACTTAGTTTGATGTCACCGCCAAACATTTTCACAGCAGCGTTTTGATATCATGACTACAAATGCCCACAAATGCCGTCAATAGCTTGACGTACATCGACAGTGTTTGTTACAGTGACGTGTCCTTATTGGCTGGTTTTAACGAAGGCATGGTAATGGATATTTGTATATCCATTACCACAGCAGTAGGTCATAAAATTGAACATGCAATTTCAAATTTGCTTCTCTTTTTAAATTATTCCTTATTATTATGGGAAAATTTGGCCTCAAGTCATCGCGAAATATTTAAACAATCCATGACACACTGCGGGTCATATTGTCCACATGAAGAATATGAAACAATCGACCTCCATCTCCGCTGTAGCACCAGAGTTAATTATGTCTCGCTATCGTGATGCTGGAGGTTACTGTCTTTGTTATTGTATCTTTTTATAGACTCACTCATTATCAGCATCCCAGTGTCCACAACAGCAGTCCTGGAAGTAATTGAAAAGATAATAAATTTATGCATTTCCATTAACTGCTCCAACAGCGTAATGTTTTTTTTTTTTTCCTTCCATCTCCACATGAAGAAATATTAGAGGAGGTGATATAATTATACCTCGCCTTATATGACACTTTGTTTCTAATCTCTTTGTTTCTTCTTCATTCTTATTTTTCCACTTCATTCTTCACTCCATTTCTAGTGTACGCTCAAGCTGAGCCTCAGGCGCCAAAGTACAGTTCAGGCCTGTGCATTTATAATCTCCTCAGTTCTAGAGCCCTGGGGAATCTGGCAACTGTCTCCATCTCCCCATTCAAAGGCGTTCCTTACTGCGTCTTCCGAGCTGACCCCGGAACAGTTCTGTACAGTACTTCTGGATCGTCCTGAAAACGCCTACGTAGACTCTCGCAGGGTCAGCGTGGTCATCTCACCACATATCTTACCTTGGATAAAAACCCAACCGCGTTTTCTTTTCATCATGTATAGTTTTGTCGCTGCACCGCCCACGGCTTCATTTGCAGACTTTTCAACTTCTCCATTTCCTGCCCACCTTTTATCCACTGCTTGTAATGTTTGTGGTTTTTGAACTTTCTTCTCTTTCATGTCCAACCAGCAGCTTCAACATCTGACAAAGTAGATGAACATTTCTGACAATCATTCAAGATTTGAGTCTTTCTTTTTGTCTAGTTTAGGAACCGTGTATAATCTGTGACATCACTTCTGGCCTTCCTCATCCTAGCCTCTGACCTCTTGACCTCTCTGCCATGTTTGCTTGTTTGTGTGTTCAACACTGTGGAAGCAGTGCCTCTTGACCTCTCTGCCATGTTTGCTTCCGTGTGTTCAACATTGTGGAAGCAGTAATTTCAAAATACTGTTTCACCAACCCTTTCAGAAAAGGTAAGAAACATTGTAACAATAAAGTTATAGATTTTTTTTTTTTGAACAAAAGCCGTAAGTGTTTAAAGCAGGAGTCTCAAGGCCAGTGCTGCCATTGTCATGGCCGCTCAGCAAAAAAGCAAGTATTTGTTGTTTAATCCTTTATATAACGAACAATACAGTTCTCAATGAATGAACAAAAACTGGTGGAAAACAAATGAATAAATCTGAGGGAATCATTATTCACATCTGGTTGCGAGAGCGAGTAAATAATAAGTGAAAAAAAAAACATTATTATATACCCACTCCTCAGGAGAAGGAGGTCAGTATTGACTCCTTCCTTTCTGCTCTATTCATAGTTTGCGAAAAATAGTCAAAGAATGAAGGCACTTAATGCCGCCCGCACCCCTCCTCTCTCCTATTTTCCTCTCTTCTTTGCCCAGACCCTTGGCCCCGCCCGCCTTAGGGGAATCCAACAACAAACACAGCAGAGCATAAGGTGCGGAATGGCGCAAATAGTAATGGTTTTACCATGGATTTGTGAGCTGGTTCAAATTGTCCACCTTTGAACCGTGTGTGTGTGTTTCTACGTGTGAACATTTACTGAAGGAAAGCAGGAAAGGAAAGAGAGTTTTTTTAATAAAAGAAATATTAGGGCTGGGTGTAATTTGTTTTTTTTTTATAAAAGAAATATTAGGGCTGGGGGTAATTTCACAATCAATAACATACAGAGAAAACAGGACATGAAATAACAAGTCACGGTGTCATTACATACAGAGAAAACAGGACATGAAATAAGTCACGGTGTCATTCATGTATGAGGACACGCTGTGGAAATCCACAGTATAACGCAGTCACGTTCCCCTGTTCTGTCTCTACTTCAGGTGTGGTCTGTATTAACTCTGGCTGCCATCCAAACCACATTCTCAGGAGACTGTAGGTCTACAACAAAGGGTGGACAGCTGCCTAATTCCATCAGGGTGCGCTACAGAGTGCTATGGGAAATCGTTCCTGCCTTTGCGCCATCGGCCTTGTCAGCTCCTCCCTGTGAGAGTGGATATCATTAAAATTACTGGACCATATTTCACAAAATTCTGATTCTGGTCATTATTTGTGCAACAACCTGCAATAATCTGCACCAAATGTTTGTCAATATTTTTTTATTTTATTTGTGTGCAATATTCTGGGTAATATTCTGCATCAGGTCATTCCATTCTGATGGAGTTAAAACAAATCAGATCTCAGCAAAAAAAATAAAAAAATAAAAAATGGAAAATAGCAACAAGACCTGCTGTCTAAAGTAAGACAATTGGCTCTGTGTGTTGTGTGTGTTTTTCCAAATTAATACTATTATGTACTCCTACTGCTATCATCTACAATATACCGTTGACTAACGGTTGGATCTCTCCTTTAAGGATAAAAGAAGAGAGCGGTGATGCAACAGACCAGTCAGGCATCATCACTTACGTAAAGATGATCAATGTCAGCGTCCTTAACAGGTCTTTTATTATTTACAGATTCCTTTGAAGAACAGCGCCCCCCCCCTCCTGCTCCCCTCACACACACACAGTGGCACACGCACTGCTTCCCTCTTTTTACGCTCAATTTCAAAACAAACCCGGACAGTGAAAAGTGACATAATTAGAAGGGTAATCTATTTGCAATTAACCGACGCGTCTCTGCTGGAGAAAACAGCAGACAGATGTTTCATTAATGTTGATAAAGGGAAACTAGAAACAGAAGCTGGGGGTCAACAGTCTGGGGAGAAGTATTTTATGATGTTATAATGCGCCTTACAATGCAAAGTCCTGTTTGTTTAAAGGGGTGAATCCTCACACACAGCGCCGGTCTCGTCTTAACGCACACACATTTTTGGATTGTTGGGTGTGTTTTTGTTCTGCTGAATCAGTACCGATGGTCATGTTAATTAAAAAATAATCTGTTAATCATTATTCTTGGCTGATTTCATTACACACTGACAGTTGTAATTCATTACAGCATCTGCCTCTGACCTTTAAAACTCAAATTAACATGGTTGTCCCCTCCTGACAGAGGGCTGTCAGTCAGGGCAAGGAAATTTACATAGCGCTCAGGTGTGTGTGTGTGTCCTTTTTGTCTCCTTTCCTGCTAAACCATTTTTTTTTTTTTTCCTGTTTCAAGGACTCCTGATTGTAGCTGCATGCCTGAAGAATGTGGCCCATTATTCCAAAAACTCAAGCGCTAATTGGGGTTGGGGCATGTTTTTGTTCAGTGCAAAATATCCCCGGGCAATAAAGAGGTCGCGTGCCACGTGTGCTGCTTCCCAAACAAAGCATGCCACAAATTACCAGTCGCTCTTGACACATAATAAACCACAATGCAGATTAGGGCAGATGGAGAAGGGTATGGTTGTGTCCAAACTGCAAAACTATTGTTTCTTTTTTTAACAACAATTTTCCTTAAGGCAAAAACATCAGACCTGAAACAGCAGGGTTTTTCTTCACAGCTACTTTTTTTCACAAGAATCCAGGAATTGTTTATGATATCGGATTAGAAATGCCATTTTATTAGCCAGGTGTTTTATTTCCTGTCTTATTAAATTCTCGGCTAAAAATAAATTTAATTAAATAGTTTGTAAAACGAGAATAATATAGACATAGATAGTGTTTTGAATGGCTTTTCCTCGTAAGACAGAGGTTTACTTAACAATTATTATACTGTTTTTTTAAGGGTCCTGAACCATTTTTTTTTTAAATTGAGGTCATACGTGATTTTGTTGTTCCTATTTGTTTCCTCTACGTTTGTTGGTTCTTTCTGTCTCTCCCGTGGGTGAACTCCAGATCCCCAGTGGAGTCCAGTTGGTATCTTACATCTGTCTCTGTGACAGCTTTCCTCCGTAACGTTTCAACCTACGTTAATTCCGTCGGTCGGTTTATTGATTCTGCGCCAATTTCCGGTGAGTTTCTGACGCAACCCGTTAAGTATTTCTAGCCAGCTAATAAACGCACGAGCCAACACGTGACGTCAAACAACGAATATTGTGTGACGCACGAGGTAAATACTCGAGTGCAGCTCACCAAACAATTGGTAGTTTTTTTTGTGTCTCTATTTAATTACTTTCTACAACTTTTCCTCATGATTTCTCTCTCCCTGGGTGACGTCACTACCACTTGACACGTGAATCCACGCGTACTCACAAAAACACAGTGAAAAGCTCTCGACACGCTCTCGGCACTTTACCCTCGTTTCATCCAGCCCACACTCCTTGTTCAGCGCAGTGTGCAGCACGGAGCAAAGTAAATGTGTACAGGTGGAGGTGTCACTGTATGTGCGGTGAGTCATGACATTATTAAAAAAGTGAAGAGAACGAGGAAAAAAAAAGTTGGGATTAAAAGGACTCCTTGTCCTTATGGATCCTAAAATGCTGTAAAAGGTTTAGTGTCCAATGTGTCCTTGTCAAACGTAGGAATTATGTGAAGTTAAGGAGGGAAAAGTCCTTGAAAATCTGATAATGGTTAACACTGTAAATGTACAAAAGACAAAACGAATAAAAATTGGCTTCCAAAAAAAAAAGACAAAACTACTTTCCATGAACATATTTCTCATCCTTCTTATCATAGTTTCATTTATGTCAGTTTTATGGGTCTCAAATGTATTTGTGTTCAGGTAACGTGATGTGATAAGATCATTTTAAGCAGCTTTACTTTTTTTTTTCCAACTCCATTTTTAATTTTCTAATATACGACAGTGAGCAAATGTAGCATAAAGACAGACAATTTGGAAGTGACATATGATACAGAGACATTAATAAAGCAGATTAAAAAAAGGAGGAAAAGTAACACTGACAGGCCAATTTTGAATCCAGTTTAATTTCAGGCTTGCTTTGTTTCTACCAGTAGATTTTTGAGAGGGTTTATTATATTTCCTGACAGTCAGATAAAATTCACCTTTAAAAACCACAATCTCATCTGAAATAATCAAGATTGGTTGCTTTATGAAAGCAAAATTAAGTTTGTTGTGAAGATAAGCAGAATACAAACACCAACATACACCAACCGCTGTGTTGAATATATATATATATATATATATATATATATATATACACAGATATACACAGATATATATGGTTTTTTTTAATCTGCCTCCTCTATTCACAAATTACTACAAATACGGTGAAGTGGACCTGTACCTGTCAGTTCCAGTGTTGAGGCTAACGTCAGCTCTGCAGTCTGTGCTCACAGCGGGGACATGTTTTGCCCTGAGGTGATACTGTAGACTAGAAGTGCTCTAGTGCTAAGAAAACTCCCTGTTGCACAGTTTGCGAAGGAAGTATCTTCTAATTCAAGCTGCCACTGAAAGGTTCTTAACAAATACACTTTAACCCAATTAGTGACACAAGTGTTCAACAAAATGTGTAAATTTGTGAGTGTATACATTAATGACTGTTTTCAGGGCTTTATTTACGTTGCAGTTTCTCAAAATGACCATGTTATTGTCTCTTTTGTTTGTCTCCAGTTTAGTTCCTTCAGCATGTGAGGGGACCATGCCAGACTGAGCACATCATCAGAACCTGCCCTTGGACTCTGACCCCTGAGGACCACTGCTACTTCTCCTGCTACACATCGTCAGGCTGCTGAGACGACAGCCAGTGTAAGGGGTCAGATGATGAAGTCCTTCCATCTTTTGGTCCACCTCTCACACCAGCCTTTGTGTGTCTTCATCAGAGGGTCTGCCATGAGACCACCAACAGGTCAAAACATCTCTGCAGAACAGGCGGTAGGAATCGTTCATTTCATTTTATTTCAGACTTCTACTGCGCTAAATCTTAGTAGCTCGCTGACTTTAGACATTTGTGGACTTAACCTTTACAGTCTGTTGTTTTGGGGCAACAATCATATGTAGCTTAGGCTAACATCGAATACCTACTGTCCTTTGTGTCTGGACTATTTCTAAAGCAACGATTGTTGGCTTAATTTCACTTTATTTTTTCCTTTAATTGCTTATACTGATAAAATGACTTGTGCTTCAGAGAGGTCAGTTGTTTTTATTTGGATGAATCTTGAGAAATTTTGGCTAGGTTATTAGCCACTGCCCTAATGCTGATGTTGCTGTATGCTTGTGTTTGGTCTCCTGGTTAATTGTGATTTACTGCGATTTCTGGTATTTCTTGGCAAGTGGTTGATGTCCTTGGGTATTTTGTAACTTTTGTTGCGTATTTGTCCTCACTTCTGCTGACATTATATATCATATTTTCCCTAAATCTCTTTTACCCTACCCTATCTTAGCCTAACTGAAAAAGTCTTTGGAACTCACAGACTTTTTTAGTCAGGGTAAGGTACTGCCTATCTGTATAGTATCCAAATAATTATGACATAATTGTTTTTTTTAAATCTGTGTGCCTGAAAATGCAGTTGTTTTTTCACTGCAGGGTCTGCAACAAGTCTTTATACCAAAAAATTTCACTGCAGGGTCTGCAACAAGTCTTCATACCAAAAAAAACCCCCCCCACAAGATTAATACGTTTTTCAACACTGTTATATAGAAAAATAAATCAATCAAAGCAAATATGAAAGAATAAACAAATATTGACAGCGTGAAAAGGATTAATTTCTCAGTGGGTAACTCTTCAGCCCACCAGTCTCTGCTGCTGCAGTCTTTGTAGAATATTGCTTCATGTTGTCTTGGAAACTGAGGCATGTGAATAACATGTGATGGCGTGTTTTTGCTGCCCGTCACAGCCGATTGTGGCGCCGTTCCTGCGGGAATCACAGTCAATTCATCCTCGTTGAAAACATTTGCAGCAGCCTCTATCACGTTGTGCCTGATGGAGGCATAGAAACAGCCCGTGACCCAATAGACCATGCTCCACCTGTCAGGTAGATTCGATTATGTCTGAGCCGGTGAGTAAGGAAGCACAAATACCCCCCCCCCCTCCTGACATTGAAATTGCGTATTACACTTCATATGCCAAATGAATGTAGAAAAACTCCCACTATGACAAATACATCATTACCACATAACACCATAGGCCTTTAGGTGTGGCTTCAAGGTCTGCCTGTGGATTGGTCTGTGCTTTATCTTCCTCTTCTGTTCTTTTTGTACACTTTTTTTCTCTACTCTCCTCAACTATTACCCCCCCACACACACTCCCATATTCTTCATCTCCAAATCCTTGTTGCTGCCTTACAACCAGAACTGGAGAGAAACTCAAGGTCCCCCTTCGCTTTGTTCAGCTGTTGGTCATTTTTCTACCAATTTCCGACACTGGGTATCTTCACAGACACAGTCTTTTTAGGAAAAACACCACTACATAAAAAGATATAGGGTTTGGTGGTGTGAGAATAGTAATAGTAGGATGTATCATTTCAGAACTTTCCGCAGGTTTATTGACTGTAATCAAATAGGAAATTAAATAATAATTCTAGACTAAGACTTCAAGGAGAGAACACATTTATTTGGAAGCAAACAATCACAACAAAACCAATGCTACATATGAATCACAACCCTCTTAACATTAAACTAAACAGACGTGAAGTCCAGCTGTTCTATCCATTCGCTGAGATGAAACCTATAGCAAAAGTGAGAATTTGATTCTGAGGAAGAGTGGTTAAAAGATGATGTGTGGTTTTAACAGACTCTTGCTAGAAAGGAATGTAAGGCATTATTATTTCACATGAGAACTCTTGGCATTTGAACATTGTCTGGTTCCTGATTTGTCTGTGAGTCTTTGACCTTTGTTATCCCTCACTTGTATTGGTCCTTTTCCAGTCTTGTTCTGCTGCATTTTTAAAGCTGCTTCATATTTTATGTTTGTCTGCACAGTGGTACTCTGGAAACATAATACGTCTTCTCTGTTCAAAAGTCTCGGGTCAATGAATTTGATATTGCTCAGGCCGCAGTAATAAGAAAGTAATGATCTTCTCTGAGTCTAGTCGGTGATCAGACCCTTCCTACCATCAGCTTCTTCTTCCTCCTGATGAATGCTTGGCATAATCACCAGGTGAGAAGCTCGGGCCAAAGTGCATCTGGTAGCTCTGCACCCTAATGGCTGTCATTTGTCCCTGCCATATTGGGTGGCAATGAAATAACTTCATCATCAGGGATGAGAAATGGCCATTTTTTTGTGCAATTAAAGCAATATTCTCTAAAGCTCTGCCGCTCATAAATCACTGCGGTTAAAGGTAGAGAATGAAAAACGCAAAGGTAAGTACAAATTCCATCAGCGCTTAATTAAAATGGAACATTGGCTACTCACTGTCAAACTGCTCCATCCTCCACATCCATAGTATACACAAAATAAACAAAACCAGAGAACATGTTTTTTTCTGGCTGGATAAAAGCTATGTTTCGCAATAACTTTAAGGCTTATCTTATGAGCTGAATTTACGGTCACTTAAACATTATACTTTTTTTTACCTTATGCAATATTTTAAGATCTATAACACGAAGGGGGAACTGTTTATCATTTGAAACTTTTGAAGTTTCCTTTGGTTATTTTCACCGTTTGCCCATTTTATTGTAGTCTTTTCGGTGCCAACTTTCACCTATCTCTGGGCAATGAGCCATTTTATAGCCTCCAGCTATCTGGACCATATTTCCCTGTCTCTTACAACAGTATACGGAATATATTTTCAAAGCCTTTTTATTTTAAATCGCTAAATATATATATATATATATATATATATATGTTATGTGGCCACAGAGGCTGCAGAGAAAGGTAGAAAGAGAAAAACTGTCGCCCCCCTCAGATCAATATTCACTCGTACTCTGTGGTCCCTGCTCATGGTCAGAGAGCAACATATACTGGAAGTGTGATAAACGCAGGCAGATAATGATGGGCTCCTTGACTTGGGTGGAGGTCCTACATTTTATGTCAATGACATGCCAAGTGAAGCTGCCGTCGTAAATGTTGTCAATCAATATTCCTGGCAGCTTCCCTTACCACCGCCGTCGCTGAGTAACAGTCAGCTGACCCCACCTATCTGCTCGACCTTCAGCGGGTCTGACACCTACGCACCAGCCTGTAGAGAAAACACACATACAAACACACTACCAAACACATGTACACACAAGTGTGCACACTGTGTTGATGCAGAACCAGTGTTGGGAATGATGGGTTGTCTGCTCCGCAGAGTAATGAATTTATAGCCTCTGTCAGCATCGCTGAAGGACAGCTGCGGCGTCTTTGCCATTACAGAATAGTCGCCCATACATACAAACACACACACATCCATCCCACTATCGCCAGTTATGCTTTTACTCACTGGCACATATATACGAACACATATAAAAAGACTTTTAATAAAACTCATCTCTGTCAATCCTATTTTCAAATAGGAGATGAAAAAGTCAGATCCACTATGGTGGAATGAAAGTATATTAAAAGCTTAGGGATATCAGAATAGGATGTTTGTTTTTAGGAAATTGAGAGGACGAAGACGTGCAGTCCAGATGTTGTTTATTTATTATTTCGGATTATATAGTTTTCTCCCCCAAAATATTGTAGCCCATCATCGAAAATTAGTCTTGTTCAACTTTCGTATTAAATTCTCTTTCTATCCATTTTCTCCTTTTAATCTGATAAAAATACTTTTTTTTTGCTTTTTTATTTTGGATATGTATTTATATTTGGTTTATATCTATATTTTTGTGTCACTATCATCAGTGAGCCATTTTCAATCTCCAGGCTCATTCCAGTATCTATGGTATGAGCCTGAAAATCAGTTTATATTTCAACTTACTTCTTCTATTACAAGGGAAATACATTTCTTATTTAACAAAACATTGAAAAAAATGGTGAAAAGTTTGACATTTTCTACCTGAAACAGCAGTTGTCAACTTGTCAAACTTAGTTTTTGCTCTTTTTGTCAAAACAGAAATAGACTTTTCATCCGACGTGGTAAAGGTTTATGTTATTAATTCAATTAAAATGCTCATAAAGTGAAAACTCTTTTGTACTAGTGTCTATTTTAGTGAGTGAATTAGTTACTATAAGGCAGAGTCTATATTTCACACAAATTATGGCAAAAAAAAAAAAACCTTAACAAAGCTTTATTCTGTTTCACTCAGAGACAGTTGGAGTAATTATGTACTTAATCACTGTGCAGAGGAGAGCAGATGTTTTTCTTCTTTGAACCTATTGTATGAGGACACCTGTTACGTGATTGCTACATTTGTTATGATTTACTGTACCCAGTGGAGGCACTTAAAGACAGAAGACAAAAAAGAAAAGACTGAATATGAAGTCAATTATATGAAGTTGCATAGAAATCTAAAAGCATAGTTGTGAAAAAGCAAAAATAACAACACATTTTAGAAAAAAAAACCAATAGAAATTATGTTGCAAAGTAAGAGAGCGGTTTGTGTTCAAATAAATCAGAAATATTGTGATGATTGCCAAAATATGTAAAAGCAAAAATGTGTTTAAAAAAAGTAGAAAATACATTAGAAATGTCTAAATGAATACCTAAAAAAGAGACAGGTGTACATTTTAAGCAAATTTAAACGAATGTTTAAAAAGAAAATAGCTTAAAAAGTTTTTACTGATAGTTAGCCCAGAATTTAGTGAAAGGCTAACAAATTGTCAAATTATATCTAAAATATATAAAAAAAAGCAGCTACAAGAATGCTAACCAGTTAGCCCCAACAGCTTTTCTGTCTGGATCGCCTTCTGTGTACCTGATATTGTTCCTTTAGAATTGCTGCAACGATGGAGGTAGGCGTGGTGTTCATCACAGAGACCCTCTGGGACCACTGTAGACGAGATTGCCTCCATG